GTTTCTACGAGTCGCGATCGCGTCGCGAGATGATCCGTATCGCCGCGCGCATCACCGTTGATGATGCCAACTGGCCCCGCGATCACCGGATGTACCCGACGACGCTCGTTACGACGGTGCCGCGCACCGTCGGCGAAGGAAACGCGGGGGAGTCGCGTGATCGACACACCGCGCCGATGAGAATTAGTCGACGTTCGGTATAGAATTGGCCTTAAAAAAAGGTCATTAAATCTCCGGCGCGCGCGCACGCTCGGGAGAAATGCAGAGACGTGCGGCGCGGTACACGCCTGTCCGGAGGAAGAGCTACCGCGAGAAACCGGGCAACCGCACGCTGTGCTCGCGCGCTCGAGGTGGCCGAGGAGGCTGCGGAGGGAACGGAACGCGGCGACGAGGAGGAAGATTGATCGCGGTGAAGCTGCATCTGCCACGGGGAAGTAGATGGAGAGAGCGAGAGAGAGAGAGAGAGAGAGGGAGGGGGGAGGTGGGGAGGAGAGAAGAGGAGAAGAGAGGAGAACGAGAAGGAGGAAGAGATAGAGATAGAGAAACGACGGGAGAGAACATCGCGGAGAGGCCCTTCGGGAGAGGCTCCGCCTTCAGCTGGCGTGTGCATTTGCGCAAGATGGCGCCGGTCGGTCGCTCGGTGGAAGAACCGCGGTTGCACACGTTTCGCACACCGGCAACGAGCTCTGTTTGCGCTCCAGCCACACGTCGTGCCACCTCGACCCGCCGGTTCTTCGCAACACCGGATCTTCTTCTCTTTCGTCTTCGTCTTCCTCGGCTTCCTCGTCGCCGCCATCATCATCATCATCATCATCATCTTCATAGTCATAGTCATAGTCGTCGTCGTCATCATCGTCATCGCAAAGTGAGGATACACGGCGACCGGGAGTCGCGAACGGTGGAGGAGGGCGGCGGGCGTGCGGGAGGGGAAGAAGACCTAACTCTTATAAAAGCAGCGCCTCCCGCGTGGCCCCGCAATTACGTATGCACCTCTCTCAGACCCCGCGGGCTTCGCGGTTGGCTGCGCTTCCTTCCTGTCTGCCGCAACCACCGTGTATTATGCATCCCGCTCCGTGCGCGTCCGCCTATCTTGTTTATTTTTTTTTACCATCGCTCCGCGCCGTCGTCCCACCCCTCCCTCCCTCCCTTCCCTCCCGCCGCCGTCCTCTGTCTCTTTGTCTCTCCGCTTCTCTCTTGTTCGTGTTCTCTCCGTCCCTCCGCCTGCCTCTCTCGCTCAATGCGGACGTACGTGCACACGCGGAGAGAGAGAGAGAGAGAGAGAGAGAGAGAGAGAGAGAGAGAGAGAGAGAGAGAGAGAGAGAGAGAGAGAGAGAGAGAGAGAGAGACTGCTGCCTCGCCCGTCGTCCCGCTGGAATCGGTTCGCGTCTTCGGGGCGTCGTCGAGAAGGCGCGTGAAAGCGCCGCGCGAATATCAAAATGCGACCCAGTCGTCTTCGAGTCGGTAGTCCGAGCTAACCAACCCTGGGCCTGGCATTCCACTTTCTCCGCGTAAATAGCACGGTACTACTCCCGCACGGGCATTCTACGACTTCTACACTACGAATTACGCAATTTTTCCCTCGTCCCGAGTCGCGCGACACGACGCAGCATCGCCGTCGCGACGACCGGACAGCGAACTCTGAGATTGCTCCAACGTTCGCTCACCACCTACCTACCTACCTACCTACCTACCTATCTACCTACCAACCGTCGACGCTCGTGTCAGTGGCTGTCAAAACTCGCGACGCGAAGGAGCTTTCCGACGCGTTTCGAGACGCGACGGGAATCAAAGCCGACACGACACTCCGAGTACGAGCTCGAGGTCAAAGGGTCCTCCTGTCCATCTCCGCCGGCCGCAGAGAGAACGAGAGAGAAAGGAGAGAGAGAGAGAGAGAGGAGAAGAGTCGGCCGATGAGCCGACCGGCAAGAAATTCTCCTTCTCTCTCTCTCTCTCTCTCTCTCTCTCTCTCTCTCTCTCTCTCTCTCTCTCTCTCTCTCTCTCGCGCGCGCGCGATTGTGCCGTACCGTTCGGCGCTTTTTCCGCGCCGTCTCGAGCGCGAGGATCGTACGAACGGCAGATTTGATTCCGATTAGGAGGAGCGCCGTTTTTTCGGTGCCGCGAGCCCAACAGAGGCCCGAGTATGATCCACGCACGTCGGCACGAATCAGGGATATCGCCTTCCACGGCCCGGAGATCTGTCCGGCTGTATCGTGTTTCCACGGGCTATCCTCGTGCGCTTTTTGGCCGCCTTCTCTCTCGCTCCCACCGCCCGCCATCACGTCGCGTCCGTCCTCCTCCCTCCTCCTCCTCCTTCTGCTCCTCTTCTTCTTCTTCGTCCCTGCCATCCTTCCTCGACACGTCCGAGAGTCTCGAGCCGGAGCGACGTGGTTCACCTCCTCGTCCTCCCTCCCCTCCTCCTCCTTCTCTCTCTCTCTCTCTCTCTCTCTCTCTCTCTCTCTCTCTCTCTCTCTCTGTCTCTTCCTCGTCCTCTTTCTCTTCTCCCTTCGGCCCTCCTCCGGCAGTGCTCTCTCCTCTCCTCGACCGCGTGTCCTCCTCTACCCTACCCACGCTATGCTTTTTCATGCTTGGCCAACGACGAGGAACCGAGGAGCTATCGAGATTGCGTACACCTAGAGTGTACACACCATCGGCCTAGCGCACCTCTCTCGCCCGCTCTCTTTTTCCTCGTTGCGTGACGCCGTGAAATCTCTTTGCATGGAATTGCTCAACTTTTGGAGCGAGAGAGAGAGAGAGAGAGAGAGAGAGAGAGAGAGAAGCGGAGCGGTGAAGGGATTTTGGCCAGACGTCCTCTACGCGTACAAAGAGACCAAGTTCACCGACAGCCATCAACTTCCCCGATTTGTCGCGCTTTTATCGCGCACGAATCAACCGCAACTACGCGTCGTCTACTTGCTTCTTTCCGGTGGCTCCCTCGCTGATTTACGTCTCTCTCCCTCTCTCTCTCTCTCTCTCTCTCTCTCTCTCTCGACATCTCACTCGCGAAATTTCCTCCCGCCGCTCTCTCGTCGCGCCTCAAGCCCAGCGCCACCGAGTGTTTCCCTAAGCTACTCTCCGCAGGACGACTTCCTTTTTTGCGCGCGGCTAATCGCACGTTTCCTGCGCGCGCTTTATCTCTCATTCTCCGAGCGTCTCCGAGAGAGACCGAGCAGGTCTCTCCTTCTCTTCCTCTCTCTCTCTCTCTCTCTCTCTCTCTCTCTCTCTCTCTCTCTCTCGTTCTCTCTATAGCGGCGCGCGTCGTTCGCCACGGGGTTGCGAAAGGATTATGGTCGAGACGGAGACGTCACTCGGACGAAGCGGAGAGCTTTTGTGCGCACGAAACGAAAGAAGATGGAGTGGAAAGGAAGCGTGGAAGATTGGTTTATTCGTCGCTTCGCAGTATTCGCTCCAACCGTTAAATGGATCTCCATCGTAGTAGGAGAGAGAGAGAGAGAGAGAGAGAGAGAGAGAGAGAGAGAGAGAGAGAGAGAGAGAGAGAGAGAGAGAGAAGGGACGAGCCGAAGTGAACGAGAGCTTGCGCGAGCCAATCGTCGTAGACGCAACACGTAAACATTTAGTTGAAGAAGCAAGCGGGATATTGCTCGAGGTCTGTTCCGTCCAGAAGACGGTGGGGAAATGACCGTGTAATTAGGATTCAGCCAGAGTAAGCAGGGTTTCAAGCGGACGACTCGCCGCAAGTACTTCCGCTTGCGATCAGATTTGCCGTCGGCTCAATCGTCTTTCAGAGTACACAAACCCCGAGCGATATCCTGATTGGTTCCTCCAGCTAAAGTTCCACGTCTCGCGGCAATGTGCGCGACAGAGCCCGTGGCGCTGCGCTAAGTAACCGTCCCAATGGGACATGTCGCCACGAGCGCCGCGCACACTCTCGGGTCTCTCCTCTCTCGCTGGCGTTGCAATGTTGAGCACGTGCGAGCGCGAGCGGACGGACGGACGCATGCCTATCCAGCCGCGATGGAGAAATTTAATTATCGAGGCAGGCATCTAACGGGGGGAGAAGTGAAACAGCGGCGACGTACATCACAAGGGAGACATTCGATGGCGCGCTGATAGCCTCGGAGGCGCCTCGTTAATTAAATATAGAAATTCTAATTAATGAGAGAACTGCGAGCGAGCTGGTGCGCGCGTGCGCGCGCGCACAGGATGACTGTACACGGCGGTCGTTGAACCGTGTCGCGAAACACGCGACAAGGAGAAAAAAAAAAGGTGGAAAGAAAGAAAGCAACGTGGGTGTACAGCATAGGCGGGGCTGCTGCCGCGCTGAACGCGCTCTCGTGGATCGGCTCGAGGGTGACGAAATTCTCCCCTTGAGCGTTCTCGCGGAGGTCGATGTCGAGTTTGCACACGCACGCACGCACGTACGCACACGGTGCGCTTTCGCGTCGACGATAAAATATTCGAGCGAGCGTTGTTACGCACCTCACGCTCCTCTCCTCTGCTCTCCTCTCGCCGACGCCGCCGATCGGCGCATCGCGAGCCGCGGCACCAAGCAGGAGCGCGAATCTTCGCGACACGCCGCGCCGCGTCGCGTCGCATCGCGTTGTAATCGAGAGCTTCTGCCGCACAACGGAATCACTAAGACGGATTTCGATCGATAAGGCTAAAATAGCTCGCAGATTATACGTATTATCCTCTTAATAGCCGCACGGTATCCGCTGCTGAAAAAGGCAAGAGAGCCTTCTCTTCCTCCTCCTCCTCCACCTCGGGAGTCCTCACACTCGCTTCTGCCGCCGACCGACCGATCTTTCTCTGAGGGAGCGTCCGCGCGAGCGAGCGGTCGGTCGGTCGGTCGACCAACCCACCGGTCGTTGAACCGCGACCCCTCGCGCAGGGGAGGAAAAATAAACGATGCGGAGCAGACGAGCGAGCGAGAAAACGGAGAAAAGAGACCGCCAAGATTGACGAGGGGCTGAATGAAAGCAAGACGGGAGGGGCGAGAGGGGGGAGAAAAAGTACGAGATGAGAAAAACGCGTGCACTTACTGTGGGCGTAGTGTGCCGCGGGGTGGTGCGCCGTCGGGCCGGCGTGGGGGTAGTAACCCCTGTAGTCGCTGGGGTTGCCGACCACCCCGGTCACCCCGGCACCCCCCGAAGGCGGCTCCAGCGACGACCTAGGCGGCTCGTACCACCGAGCGGTGCTCGACTCGCTGCTCATGTCCATCGTGTCCGAGATCTCGGTGCGTCGTCGCTCGTCCAAGAAGAACGACGACGGGCGGCAAGGGAAGAGGGGGAAGGAGAGAGAGAAAGAGAGGGACGGAAGGAGGGCGGAACAGAGAGAAAGAGAGAACGCTGGAGGGCAGGGCAGGGGAGGAGATTAGGACCGCTGCCAAAAGCGCCTCTCTTCCGGGAGCGTCGTCGTCCTCGCGACGCCCGACGGGATCATAGGTAATCCTGGTCTGATCGGCGGATCACGAGGGGTAACTGCTTCTTCTTCTTCTTCTTCTTCTTCCTTCTTCTTCTTCTTCCTCTTCTTCTTCTTCTTCTTTTTCTTCTGCCTCCGTCCTGTAACAAACACATCGAACACGGCGGTTAGTTTGGTTAGCTTCGCTCTCTTTCTCTCTCTCTCTCTCTCTCTCTCTCTCTCTCTCTCTCTCTCTCTCTCACACTCGCACGGACTCTCCGCAGCGCTGAGAAAACGTCGTCGTCCGCGGGGTGTCTGTGACTGTAATTGCATCGTCGAGCGATTATAGTTACCGGAAAATTTCTTTTCTCTAGCGAGCGCTACCGCAAGGTTAATAACAACTTACGCACACGCGTACACACACGTGTGCTGTTATTACTTTTTTTTTCTCAAAGCAACGAGAAGGTGTACACGACTGACTTGGCGAATGACGATGATTCGCGGTGTGATTAACAATTATTTCTCTTTCGCTCTGTACGAACGAACTCGTTCCTCCTCGTCGAGAGCCGTCTCGTCGCGCACGCTAGAACAACATTCAAAAGCCTCCATCGGTGGAAGTCGAAGAGGAGCGTCGAGAGAAAGCGAGCCGCGAGAGACTCGTCCAGTGATATATCGCGCGATTGTCAAAGCGCGAGACCTTTTTCTCGCCGGCGAAATCCCAAACTCGCTCGCGCTCGTATCTCTCTTCGACGTATCACTCTTACATCAACTTATAAAATAGTTACGCGACCACCTTGCGAGCCGCGCGATAGATATTACATGCAAACGCGGAACGGAGAAGTTAATTGGAGCGTTTAGGTCGATCCACGCGATCCCCCGACGACGACACAACGACGAGGATATGTGTGTGTATGTGTGTGTATATTCGCGCACGATGCAGCACGGACGCGATGCAGGCAGCACGCTGGGAAAATTCCTGGCCGACTTTATTAGCGATAAATAATTTTCGCCATTTGCATAGGCTCGTTACGAGCTAGACGCGGCGCGCTTTAATTACATCACCCACCGGGAGAGTCGCGTTCGCTCGCTCGCTCGCTCGCTCACTCGCTCGTGCACGCACGTGGGGACTCCCTTTAATAAGACGCTGTCCGATCTCGAAGTCATTATGGTTCGCGCGCGCGTGCATTAATTAATCGATCAATAGCCGCGAGCGCGGGCTCCTCGTTGCGAAAGCGAAAAGCTCCTCCGCGTAAAACTCCGAAACGGCGCGCGCGAGCGCCGTTTTCAACGGCTTAATGTCCGATGAGAGAGAGAGAGAGAGAGAGAGAAAGAGAGAACTTGACGCGAGGGGACGCCTTGTACAAGCGAGAATAGAAAAACGACGGAAACTACACCACGTCGGTATATCCGGTATACTCGCTTAATTTCTCCGCGAACTTTTCGGAAACAAATTCTCCCGTTGAGCCGTCCTCGGCTGCGTTCCAAAGTGCACCCGAGAAAAAGTGTCGGGACCTTTTTCTGCGAGCGAGTGCACGTCGCCATCGCGTCGACATTGACACGTCACTTCGATGGAGTCGTCCGACGGTGCTTTCGGCTTCCTTTCGAATTCCGGACGCGATCTCGTCGCCTCGCTCGCTCGCGGCGCGAAGGAGCAAACGGGCGCGCATGGAGTTACGGATAACGAGCGACTTTGTTGCAGCAGCGAACGACTCTTTGCGGCTCGCTCGCGACGGACAGGCTGCCGTTCCGGCTGCACTCCCCGGTCGAACGTACCTCCTTTTATCCTCTGCTGGCGGTGCGGCCCGGCTTTCCGATATATCGCGCTCACGGAGCGCAAAAGGAGAAGGACGGCGTCATGATCGGGCGGACACGCACGAGTAAATTAATACCGAGCTGGAAACACGAGACGCTTCAATGATTCTTTCATCCCCGGCTGTGCAACACTCCGCATAATGCGCCGCCTGTTTTTCAGCCGTCTCCTCCTCGCGAACCGGACGCGAAAACGCGGCAGAAATAACGGCGAAGGGGAGAGGAGGAGAGGAGGAGGAGGAGGAGGAGTCGGGACCCGGTTGACTCTGTCCCTCGTGTGCGCGCGATCGATCCGCGAACGAAACCAAATGACGTTCCTCTTTCTTTTTCTGTTGGGCGGGCGCGTGCACACACACACACACACACACACACACATGCACACACACGACGAGAGCGCGCGTGTTATCGCTCGATAAATAGAAAGTAAATCGAGAACGAGGAAAAAAAGGAAAAAACAAAAGAAGAAAGATCGGGTTTGTGTCACACCGCGGATTCATTTCCTCGTGCTAATTCCTTCATTTTCGGAACCGTCACGTTCGCGTAGAAACGAGTGATTGATCGGAGTCGTAAAGCAATTTTACCACTCCTTGGGCCAAAGTGGAGCGCGAATATTTTCGGCTATCGAGTCACTGTGAGACGCGTCAAGCCCGTTTCAGATTCCGGACGACCGAGAGCTGCTTGTTCTTTCTCCAGGCTTTCCCGAGGCGGAGCTACTGCACTTTTTGCGTGAAAACGGCCAGCTCGGTAACGCCCGGTTATCGTAAAACGCTGAGAAAACGCTGAGAAAGACGAGAACTTACCACAACGGATGGCGAATCTGGCGAAGCCCGATAATCGATCGGCGAGATCTACGGTAATTGGGTCCTGATCAGCGCTTCAGTGCGAGCATACTGAGTACTGATCGACAATGATCAAGTGCTCGAAATGATTTATCAATCGGTGGGTGATCAAGGTCATCAGTGACGTAATCGGGACAAATCGCTGATCCGCAATCGCCCAATCCCGACGAAGAAGCCCGCGCGCGCGCAAGAGAGAGAGAAAGAGAGACGACGAGGGGGCTCCCCGTGAAAAGAGAAACGGCGAGCGAAACAGGACGCGGACTCTTATCGAAAAAGAAAGAGAGAGAAGAAAGAGAGTGGCTCGTTTTCGAAAATATCCGATAACTATCGCGCCTCTGGGAGTGATCGTAAGGTCTCGCCGGCGGCGGTTTTTGCATCGCAAAGAACTGCAAGCGCCGCGCGCGTCTTGGCGCACGCACGAACTCGTGCACGTTCGCGCGAGCGCGAGCACGCTACGGCGGAAAAAATATTTTTCTCGAGAAACCGGTTGGACGTACGGCGGTAACAGGTTTCGTTTTCAGTCGCAAAGCCGCAAAAGTAATGCTAAATCTTTCGGCGAAAGAGAGAGAGAGAGAGAAGCGCGGCGACGCGACGCGCTCGTTTCCGACGACAGATTCGAGTTGCAGCACCTCGTCTCTCCCCGCGCGTCGCTACTCTTTCTTTCCAACTGCTTTTTTTTTTTCAACTTTTCGTCGCTTCACCGTGCTTACGGCCGGGTCGTACAAAATTACTCGCCCCGAGCAAATAAAGCACTCGAAAACAATGGTCGATAAGATACACACGAAAAACGCGGCCGCGATAAGGCCGATAACCGCGAATTGCGACACGCATATCCGATTAATTTTGATTGCCGGACTATCGAGATTTTTCCTGTTGTTATTATTAATGTATTATGCGCCGCACGCTGCGTATTATACATTGCCCTCCGTTGCTTTCTCTCCCTCCCTCTCTCTCTCTCTCTCTCTCTCTCTCTCTCTCGTACTCGCTCTCTTTCTCTTACGTGGACATTCGGTTGCGTCACGCGATAACGCAGGCCGATAATGCTGACGCGTGCACACGCAGTTATCGTTTCCGATCGATCTCGCGGTTTCGCTGGAATTTTTTCTTATTCCACACTCTCTCGGGACGGAAAGTCGTGAATGCCGACACAAGAGAGAGAGAGAGAGAGAGAGAGAGAGAGTGTGTGTTCCAGTTGCGGTAATTAGACGCGGCGAAATATAAAATATCGACGACGTGCGCGTTCACCTTGTCGTGGCCGGCGATCGAGGAGGCGCGTTCCGACGTTATCGCCGAAAAACCGCCGGCGACGATAATCGCGGGGCCCCGATCGATCACAGATATATCTAAATTTGAACAGATCAATCATGCGGTATCGCGCGGCACGATCGCAAGACGAGCGGCGCGATTACTTTTCACACCGCGGAGATATCTCTTCACGATCGGGAATAATATTTTTTTCGGCAATATAAATCACACCGAGCGCTCTTTATTTTTATCGTAGCCCGCCCCGCGCGCTCGCGCCAACACTCCATTCGAGCCATTAAGCGTGCTCGAGATATTTACCGACTCGCGGACACGCGTGTATATTTTTCCCGTCGCGTTTCGACGTGTTCGACAATTTACCGATGCAAATACGCAAAAAACTCGCCTCCTCGTCCGCAGGACTGTAGATATACCCTCACGGAGACCCTCTTTCTCTCCTCTCTCTCTCTCTCTCCGTCGTCTCGTCGTTTACGCCGCGGGGGAGATACGCTCTTTCGTAATTTCACCGGCCGAAAATTAGGGCCGACTATACATAATTCCGTAATCTAAGAGAAGAGGGACACTCGATCCCGCCAGATCGATAATCCGAATCGAGAGCTTGACCGATAGATCAGCCGCACAGAGATCGCGAGCCAGATCTCACCGACCTGATAATCGCGATAACGAATACCCCCGGGCTAGATAACCGCCACGAATGTGCGTCCCGTAGACTTTAAACCGAACCGGGAGATTACGCGCCGCTCAAGGATAACGCGCGAAAATGGGGGAAGGGCTCGATCGAAAAACAATTCGGCGGGCGTTCTCATGACGACGACGACGACGACGACGACGACGACTCGCTTCCTAGACCGACGTCGCGTTACGTGTCGCGTGTGTGTTACACACGACGGCCGACGGCCGACGACCGTGAGGAGGAGAAACAGGTTCGGGGAAATTGGAGCGCGTCCGAAGAAATAATCACACGGCCGATAAGCACTCGGTATTATTCAAACGTTCGCGTATACACCGTGGCGAAAATTATTTCACGGCGATCTGTCGTCGCGGAGGGCAAGAGTGACGTTGCGCGGTGTTGTCCGTCGACACGACGGATTTCCTTCGCGCCGCGGTTTCTCGTCGGAAATCGCCCGATCGTCGCGAGCGGAATGAAGCGCGCGCGACAGTCAAAGGTCGGAGATCAACCGCCTCTCCTGCTCCTTTTCTCTGTTTCTTGGAAAAAGTACATCGGTATAAAGCAACACTCGCGCGGTGTCTCTCTCGCGAAAATTCGATAACGCGTACGTGTGTGCAGGTGCGTGCTCGAGCCGGCTCGACTCTTCGCCTGCCGAGCGACCTCGCTCCTTCTCTTCGAGTCCTGCGAACGTTAGCGATTGAGAATCTTCATGGAACCGCGATTCTAACGAACCTTATCTGCCCCGAGTTACGTCACTGTGTATCCACTCGCTCGACGAAACTCCATCGGCGCGTGCTTCTCGATCACGTATCACGGCTAATCTTATCGAGAAATTCGTTAATCTCGTCAAACTTCTCGAGAGCGGCGGCGACGACGCGTCAACACTGGCGCGAGAATCATGTCGCCCGAAGTCGCGGGTCGCCGCGACCTCGCGGGAGGGTCGCGTAAAAATCGAGCTTCGACGACGACGGCGAGCCGTGCGCAAATCTCCATGTGCAACGCGAATATCCCGGGACGCTCCCGGAATCGAGTCGTCTCGACTCGTGGAGTGCGAGAGCGAATTTAGCCGCGACGATCCTAGATAACATTTCAGTCTCCGAAGGACTAGCCGGCGGATAACCGAGCTAGCCTAGTGTCCTGAGTTACAAAAGGACGCGAGACGTACGACGATTACAGAGCCACCATAATAATGCATGCGCGACATTTTCTGGCTTTTGCACTTTCCGCAGCATGCAATCCCGTTCCAAACCCTAACGTACGCGCGTCGCTCGTCCCGTTGTGAAAAAGTATCGGATTATTTCAACGCGAGCGGCACATTTCTCTCGATCACTGTCGTCCCCTCGCGTGTCCATCCTCCTCCTCCTCCTCCTCCTCCCGGACACCGTCAAACGGACTCCGTCGCGACGAGCCGCTTCGACAAGCGAGACGATGCACACGCACACGCACACGCCTCACGCGACGAAACGTTTTCGAGCGACGACGCGACGTTATTGGGATCCCGCCGTCTGAAAGCCGAACGATCGGATTTACCGGCGAGAAACACGATTTCTAATGGCGAGAGAGCCCCGATATAGAAGCCCAAACCAAACACCCCTCTCTCTCTCTCTCTCTCTCTGCCGGCGCGTCGCTCGCACGCCGTGGAAACCGCCACGGGGGTGGAAAGAATGAAAGCAACGGTCCGTGACACGCGCTGTCACGCGGCAATGGAAAAATAAGAGAGGTGAGAAAGGCGTCATCGCCGAGTCGCTGAGTCCGGCGGCTGAAGATTCGTCAAAGCGGCTTCTTGCACGGTGATCCTCCTCTCTCGATCGGCGACACGACGATGGCGATGGCGATGGCGGCGGCGGCGGCGGTCGGAGCCCGAGAGAGCCGCGCGCCGACGGATCGGGAACGAAACAATCGCGAGTCGCCGGTAACGCGATACCACCGGGCCACATGGGAACGAGCAGAGAGAGAGAGAGAAAAAAAACAAGTTTCGAAGGTCGAAAGGACATTGGCCGACAAACAAGTGACACACTCGCGACGGAATGACCGAGAGAGTGACGCGCTCAAGGCCGGAGCGGATTTTGAAACGGGCGGCGAAAGGCGCGCGCGAAACGGCTAACGACGCGTCTCTTTGTCGGTTCAAGCCGCGCGTTCAAACTGGAGTTTCGCGTATGAGCGGGAGAGAATCCGCCCCGTTCGCCGAAGCGGCCTACCGAAACGTCGCGGACAATTCACGAGCGAGTAAAATATCAGTCGATCTTCGGGCGGAATCGCTGATAAACTTCGACACAGTTGATAAACGCCTTCGAGTTAGAAGCGAAAGAGTCGGATTTTTCTACGACAGCCGGCTGGCGCATTCGGGTAGATTCACACAGTACGACAGTAAAGACCCAAAGTGGGCGGACATAAGTCGGGTATAAGCAAACTTTAGAGAGAAAGAGCGAGAATAATATAAAAGATAGAGAAATGACGGGTTGACAAAATAGTGGTTGAAACACGCTCTCGGGACCGGGTGCCGACTAGGGTTGCCAACTGCCCGGTTTTGACCCGGACTGTCAGGTTTTCAGAAATCTTGTCCAGTGTCCGGTTAATAAGTCAAATTCCGGACGTCATATGTCATATGTTTTTAAGTTTTATCCAATCAATGGAACGAGAGAGTTCAGATTTTAGCAACGTTTCTCCGTTTCAAGCGCCTACAAACGACCGAGCGCCACGAAAGGCCATCTAGTGGATGATCTGCCGCGATCATCATTCCATATATATTAAAAAAGTAATAGTTTATTATTTTATTCAATCAAATCTTGTTTATAAAATCGCTCGGAAATTAATATCGTAAATAAATTCTTGTCATATTTTGTATTTAATGTAACGTTACGATTATTATTTCTGTCCGGTTTAGTCCGCTTTGGGTTTGTTACCAAAGAAGGAACGTCCGGTAATTTTAACTTTTGGATTTGGCAACCCTAGCGCCGACGGAACATTGTCATCTGCGATTATTCCTACCAGCCTAAAATGCACCTGCGCGACCACGATTCGCAGCAAACAAGTGAAAATGCAAAAACGGTACCTGCAAATCGCCAATTACGCGGCGCGCGCGAGCCGTCGGCCGATGTCCACCCTCGTTTCGCGTTCCCCGCGAACAAGCCCCGAAAGGACGCCCCCGCGCGCGTCTTTGTGCGCCCTGCGTGAGCGAGTAAAGAGGATTTATCTCCGCGGCTCTTCGAGACCTGCGAGAGATCAAAGAGAGCAGAGAGAGAAAGGGAGAGAGGGAGAGAGAGTAAGCGGATTTTGAATACACGTGAAAACGGGTGGGTGGGCGCCGTCGGTAGTCCCAACTGCGACCACGAGCGTTAAAAAGCTCCCTGGAAGCTGTTTTTATCGGTATCGGATAATTTAGCGGACGAAGCGAATGGAACGTGCTTTTTCACGTCGACTCTCGGGGTTTGCGCACGCAGATTATCTTCGCACGACGCGTCCGGATCCGAGAGGCTGAGAGATCGAAGCAATTCGCTTCGGAAAGCGTAATAAAAACGGCGGCTCGACGGCTGCCCTTAAGGAGAGCTACCAACGACGACGATTATACTCCCTGTCTCTCGACGAGAGAGATAAAAGAGCCAAACTGGCGGAGTTTTATCGCCGATGCGAAACGCACGACACGAACTAACGCGGCTTCTAACGACGACGATGTCGGAAACGAGGCGCGATCGCGCGATAAGTCGTCGGCGCGTTGTAAATACTCGCGCCGGACAGCCGCGCAAATATTCGCCGTAATTAAAAGAAAAAAAAAAAAAAAAAAAAGCCGCGCGTGCGTCGCATTCGGCGAACCCCACGGCGAATTTTACGACGGCGGGATCTCGCGAAATTTTTATCGAGAGAGAAAGAGAGAGAGAGAGAGAGAGAGAGAGAGAGAGAGAGAGTGAGAGAGAGAAACAGAAAATCCCCCCGCGAGGTTGGAAATTTTACGAGACAAAGAAACGACGTGCGCGTTTTCCCTCGTCGCGTCGAGGGTAAAAATCCCTGGCGAGAAAAGTCGACCAAAGTCGACCCCGCTTGTTCTGTCTTCCCGCTTCACAAACCTCGCGTATGTCGCATTGTTCTTCCAGATTCCCGATAATTCCGGTAAGCTAAAATCAAGTGACGAGAAGAACATGCCACATGAGGATATTCGTCTTAGAGCTCACTCGCGATCGAACGATTCGTCGACGATTTACCTCGTAAAATGTGCCACAGTCGAAGCGAAGTGTTATTTTTACGTTTCTAACGGTCCTCGAGACGGTTCTTTTATTGTCCTTTATTGTGAAAGGGCTCCAGCTAAGAGAAGACACACTTGATGTGCGCCGAAAATCGCTCGCTTTCATGAGGAATAATGTCGACCCGCTCTCTCTCAACGGGTGACGGGCGACAACAAGCTAGTTTAACACCGATAGAGCGTCTATCCAATCGAGTCACCAACTACCTGTGCCGTCGGCAGGCAGCCGTCTAGCTACCTCCGCTTTAGAATTTAGCTATCTCGTGCCGAACGCGCGCACGAGCCCAATTTGGCAATTTGGACAAAATCACCGATCAGCCTCATCGCGAGGGTCTCATTATTACGCGCGAGGCGTCGCGAGAGAAACGCAATACGTCAATACCGGGTAACGGCCGACGATAATCGCCGCATCCTCTGCGGCCACGGGAGCTCCGGAGAATACCGCATTTTGTGTGACTCACGTTACCTCGCGCGACGGGTCGATCCTCGCCCTGCCAGGAGTCCTAATTGCCAACGCATCGTCGACGGGAGTCTAATCCGCCAAGATTCGGGAGAACATGGCGTAGGCCGGCGGACGGAAGGTTGCGGCTCTCGGCTAACTTCAGAGCGCATCCGGTATCCAATAGGAATGGTTTATCTTCCGACGAGAACAAGCCTTCCTATTGGATGCATGGATGCGTTATGAAACTCACTGACACGCAACCGCAACCCTTTTGCCGCTGATTACGTGCCAATTTCTCTCTCTCTCTCTCTCTCTCTCTCTCTCTCTCTCTCTCTCTCTCTCTCACTCTCTCTCGCGTAACAAACGCATCCATCTTTGCTTCTCCTACGTTAACTTTACGTCCCATCTTCTGCCATTAAACTTTTCTCTTACTATGCAAGCGCTTGAGAAACGAAACTCGACCTCCATTTCCTATACGTTCACCTTAGACCCCGCGCGCTAATTCGAACAGTGTCGCGTCGAGAGGCGACAACTCGTCTACCGTTTAATATTCCGCCGCGATCTCGCGAGGCATCGATCAATATCGTTCGCGCGCCGCGATTGGCCGGGACTCGCGCGATCGCTCGCGCGGCTGTTGGCAGTGCTTCGCGCCAAAAATTCAGAACCGAGACTCGCATAGAGGACGACGAAACGAGACGTTCGCGGCGTCTCGCGCGAGCGTCCCGCCGCCGAGAGACGCTCTCACGACGCGGCGCGAAGAGAGAAGGAAAGAGATCAAGCGACACCGCAAGTCTCGCCGGCGTAAAGCACAAGCGAGACTACAATTTCCGAACCTAACCCGCCCTGTGCGCTTACCTTATCTCCGGCGGCAATCCCCGGCTGATAACGCGACGGCTAGTTTGTGTACGCTTCGCGGAGGTGGGAGATATCGTTATCACTAAGGTAGCACCAACACACTGCACCGTACACACACACAGCACATGGTGGCGTCCGTGGAGTTTCGCTCCGGCGGTTGCTTCGGTCCGAAACTGCCGGACTGCCCTGGCTGGCCGGCTGGCAGCCTACAGGTGACTGAATAAATGAGCGAGAGAGCAGGTCCGATTGAGACGAGACTTTCGCTGCTTCTTTCCTCCCCTTTCTCTCTCTTTTCGCGCGTCTCCACACACGCCGCGTATCGTCCGGGAAAAGCGAGCGATGACGACAACGCAGTTGTCCTGTCACCGGTGTGATTCAGATCACGCGAACGCGTTGGCGCCGCTGCGCCAATCCGAGATGACGTTCAGCCCGCCTCCGCGACGCTCCTTGTGTGTCGTCGTCCACCTCCGCCGTCGCCACCACAGCACACGCGAGACAAGATTCGTTCGTCCGTTCTCTGAGCGCACGACAGAGTCCCCCTTCGTCCGTCGCTTACTTCGCGTTTCTCTCTCTCTCTCTCTCTCTCTCTCTCTCTCTCTCCCCTTTCTGTCGCGACGCCACGAGAGAGACCGTGATGGAGGCAGAAAGAGATGCGGCTGAGAAAGTCCTGCTTGAGTTTTTTCAAAACGCACGCGCGCGCGCGCGAACTCAAGTCGATGCGACTGACGTGGCACCCGGCGCGGAACTAAGCGCACGAAAACACAGCGCCGCTCGAGCCCCCACGTTCGAGCGTGCTCGGCCGCCTCCGCCGCAGCTCGGTCGAGCTCGCTGGAAAGCGACGACGCCCCCCGAGCCGGCCCAACCTACTCACGGGCGTTAACTGCCCCCACTGCCCCCACGCTGAGCTACCCTGCCGCCGTCGTCATCGCCGCCGCCGCCGCCGCCGCCGCCGCCGTCACCGCCGCCACCGCCGCCACCGCCGCCACCGCCGTTGCCGCAGCTGCAGCTGCTGTTGCTGCCGCCGCCAGTGACGACGACAACGATGACGACGACGACGACGACGACGACGATACGTATGTACGCTGCCCGCGGCTGTACCGTTTCTACGACACGACGCCGACGTTGTTGCCGGCGCTGTCAACGCCGAAATCAACGAGAAAAAGCGCGTCTACTCGGCGACGGATGGCCGGAGGAGTGAGAGCCGCGTTTGTCGCTAAGTTCACGACGCAACTGGTCGTCGACCGAAGCGAGAGGACGACAACGACGACGACGACGACGCGATGGATCTGGTGGACGCGGGACGACGATTGCTGGATTATTGGAATTTTTAAGCGACTGTTGTCGTCGTTGTCGCGTCGTGGAACGCGGATTTCTTATCGGCTAGGTGAATATTCATGAGAGATAGGCGGCGCGCTCGCTTAGGTGTTATTTCTTTCGGGCGTCTTTCGAGCCCGTTTCGGTCATTCGTCTTGTCCTCGTACCGGTTCGCCGTCAGAGGATGAGATTTTGGTCTACGACACCCGAGAGCCTCTACGCCAGGCGTTTGCCTCCGTCTCGCGAGAGAGGAGAAACTCGTTGTATCACATTGTCGATTTGTGCAAAGAGCCGGGGGGAGAGACGGAAACGGAAAAAAGAGCAGTGGAGGAGAAGAGACCCCACCTTTCGCGGAAATAATTCACCGGTAGGGAACAGACGAGGAGAGTCTCGTAGCCGGCGGCGAGATATCAAAGCACTCGCGCTGATTTCAGGCCGAAAGCGCGCGCGCGCAGCAGTGCGGGGCGCCGCGCGCGAGCGGAAAATTCAATGTTCCCAAGCGGATTTAATGCAGTCCTCACCGATTGGCAGATACCGCGGCTCAACGGTGCCAAATCGTTCCATCAGGACGCACACGCACGATACATTTCTATAGCCTACTTTGAATATATTGCAGCGCGAGCCGCAGCTGCAGCTGCGGCGGCAACGAGCGCGGCCCGGCTCGCTATTTGCGTCGGCAATTTATCAACGCGCCGGCCAATCGAAAATCTAACGTATCATCATCATCGCGTACCGCGTCATACGCAACGACGAATGAAATTATCGCTGCTCATTTTTGAGGCCTCTCAGCGCGCGCGTGCACAGGTGCACAGGTGAGGGGGCAGGGGGAGGATGGGGAAGGCGAAGAGCGAAGTTTCGCGCTCGTTTCATCCTCGCGACGGCGCGACGCTCTTCTGGCGAAATCTCTTTGCGAGCGAGACGTCGTCGTCTTGCTTGAACCGAGAGACAATTCGCTCGAAATTCGCTTGCGTCAATCAGCTCGATCTAGCGAGCGGATTCCTCGCAATATTTGAGAGAGACAATATATATATATATTAACATTAACAATATCAATTAAAATTGAGAAATCATCAAGGAAAGGGACAAAAGTCATCTCGACGAGACTCCGGAGAAGCCGAGTTCGCCGTGCACGAGTGAAGAGTCACCTGAATCTGAAAGAGACCGCGCTGTCGCTCTGATTTTCGAACGAAGTCTCACGGAAATTCGGAAAGCATAGTTTGCGAAACTTCAGAATGCCATCGTACGCGATTGTACGCGCGGCAACCGGTATTTACCCAATACTCTTCACCTTACGCGGCGATTCTAGCGACGTTACAAATCCACGAACGAGTTCCCAACGATACCTGCCCCCCCTGACCGGGGGATGGAGCGGGACGGAGAGGAGAGGGAGGGGGGAGGATGTGGAACGCGACAATTCGCGTCGGGAAGCGCGGTGGTATCGGTCCGCCCGACGACAGAGGTGGCCGAGGAAAGGAGAGATTGGGGCCCGATCGCGTAAAACGCGGTTATCTAGATCGCAGCACGAGCCGGCACAAGAGGTGTTGAATAATTCTGTCGGATCGGCCACAGGGTCCCCGCGCGCGATGAAAGAGACGCCTTCCGCCGCTCGCGCTCGACGCGCGCGATCCGGCCGCCGATCCGAATTTAGATCAGATCGGGGAAAACGAGAGCCACGTGCCCCGCTCGCGAAGATTACCGGCTAGATACGTGTGTACGTAGCTACACGTACACACACACACACACACACACACACGCATACACGTATGTATACAACCACACGTACGAAGCGCGCACACACACCGGCGTTGCACGCTCGCGCGAGCGCGAGCGCGCGCGCGCGCGCGCGATCGAGCGAGCGAGACCGATCTTGATGCCGGCGGCCTATCTAGATGAGATACCGCGATTAAGATACACGCCCTCCGAAATCCGAAGTCTGAAATCCGAGCGAGATGCGACGACGATCTACCGTGTTACAGGTTGCCCCAGGTCGTGCGATCCGATAGCGCCGGTGACTTTCAGCCGGCGCCGCGCCGCACCGCGCCGTGTGTGCCGCGCGTTCTCTCCGTCTCTCCTTTTCTCGCTCGCCTCCGTTCTGATTGCAGCCGGACGCCTTCAATCTTTTTGTTTACGTCGCGGTGCGCCCAACGTTGAGCGCGGAGGAGACGATTCTCTCTCTCTCTCTTTCTCCCTCTCTCTCTCTCTCTCTCGCGCGCGCGCGCGAAATCGCCCGTCTCGAGCGGTACATCACGCGACCAGTTGAGTCACGATTGTTTCGGCGGGCGCGATTTCTACTCGGCTAAGCGACGCGAGTATACTTGGGAAATTTTGCAAAACGACCGATTACACTTGCACGACCCACTCTCGTGAGGCAACCGCGGGGGCTTTGTAGGCTGTGGGCGATTGTTGTGCTAACCCGCGAATCTAATCGATCTACCATCGACGCCGTTGCGCAGCGGACGCTCGTGTATGAAAGCCTCCGCTCCCTCTTTCCCTGCTCTCCCCTCTGTCCCTCTGCTTCTTCCTCGCTGTTGGAAAATTAAAAAATCTCAAAGAGAAGATCGCATCGATATCGCGTCAGTCTCTCTCGACAATGTCCATCCGGGAGAGCGGGAGACAGATATATAGAAAAGATATGAGCGCGTTCGATTAAGCGGAAGCGAAATAACGCAATCAACATTTTCTGATGGCAGATAAAAGTGCGCGAGAGCGCGAGCCGTGTACGAAACGCTTGCAATTTTTCGCGAGAATTCCCCTATACTATACACAATCCGGCTTGGCGTCATCCGTGTGCGTGTGTGTGTGTGTGTGTGTGTGTGTGTGTGTGTGTGTGTGTGTGTGTGTGTGTGTGTGTGTGTGTATACGTGTTTGTGTGGACGCGCGCGCCTACGTACGTGCACACGTGCGTGCATGTGCACACGCTCGCGATGATACCGCGAGAGAAGGGGGGGTTGGGGGCAACGTCGGAGCGGGGTGGGAGAAGCTACGGTGGGGTGGCGGCGTTGCCGGGTTGCCGGGTGGCTGGAGTACCCCGGCGGTGTACAACCGAACAATCTGTAGAAGCTTGTCCAGGACGAGAGAAGTCCGTAGATCAGCCAATCAGATAGGCAACCCCCTCTCGTCCATTGTCACAAAATGGCGGCCCTAAATCAGCCTGACTCCGCCCTATTGCGCTCCCCCTCCTGAAGCGCCTCTAGCGGCGCGTCATGAAAAACTCCGCCTATCGATTCATTTTTACCGCTCTTGTTTCTCCGTCTCACTCGCTCTCCTTCTCCCTTCGTCCCCCTCCTCCCCCCTCCAGCCGCCCCCGCGCCCGCCCCCCGGCCTGCCCCCCGTCCGCCCGCCGCTCGCCCCTCCCTGCCGCCCGTCGTCGAGTCGCGCTTTTGCTCGCGCTCCTTCCAGAGTCTCTCTCGCGCGTCTCTTTTTCTACCTCCCGCCCCCACCGCCTCCACCACCACCGCCGCAGCTGCCGCCGCCGCCGCCGCCGCTGCCGCTTTCTCGCTTCCCTAGCTCTCTCTCTCTCTCTCGTGCGCTTCTACCTCGCCTCTCTTTAACAACCGGTCTCTCTGTTCCAACGCGCGCCATACGGAGCTACCGTGTCCATTCGCGTGTCTCCTCGTTACTGATCTCGCTCTGCCTCTCTGACACGTCGCTGTTTCTCTTTCTCCTCCACGCTCTCCTTTTTTCTCTCCTCCCGCCTCTTGCCTCCCGCCGACCGTCAACTTACTCCTCATGCTCGACAATGTTCCGGGTTGGAGAGAAAATTCCGCGACAATGGCGTTACGTCAGAGGGGAAATTACTCGACTCGGTCGGGTCCTTCGGAAAAGCATACGCGGACTCACTCACTCGCCGAGTCACTCGCGCGCAGGGGGAGGGGGGGGAGGTGACCTCTGGTGAACGATTACGTGTGCTGCTTTGACGAAGGATTAAGAAACGTCAAGAGAGAAAGTCTCGATGGACAAAGTATAAACGAATTCCATGTGCGATCTACGGTAATTTACTTGCCCTCTCCTCCTGCCCATCCTCCTTCTCCACGTCCCAAAAATGCCACTCCATCCCCTCAGAGACGCGACCCCCGGGTGGAAACATGTAAAATCGGACACGGTGCGGTGCGCGGTACACGCGGGAACCTCGATTCTTCCCCGAGCCAAGGATCCTCGGTCGAGCGATAAGCCTCGGTCTTCCGGGACTTCCCCGTGGCGCGAGTGGTCGACCCACCCCCGCACGTAACCCCCTTCCCCGCCGCTCCGCTGTCGGGCCGATGCGCGCGAGACCGTTCGATGCCTCGCGCAGATATTTTCCTGGCCTGATTTTTATTCGGGAGCGGGCGGGACGCAGGGAGCAGGAAAATAGTCATAAATTACGTAGCTACGTGAGAGTTTTCGAGCGACCGCGATATCGGTGCCTCGGACTGCGCGCCGATTTATTATTCTCCGTCTGAAAATACG